ATGCTAAAATTTCGAACCACATCTCCTTATTTGACGTGGGGTAAGATCCGAAAGTACCTCAACATTCTCACAGCCTCTCAAGAGTATTACAGACTTCTGTGGACCACAAAAGTTTCTCTTATCTAGGAGTGGGATTCACAAGATACAATAAACGAACAATTTGCGTATATTTATTCATGAACTTATCATTATTCTTAGGCTAAATTCATGCCGTTATGATGGAAGTGTTGGCTTCAAGCTTTATTTTTCTTCAGGGAATACATGTGCTGTTGAAATGCAAAGCCTAGTTTTTCGTATGTACGAGGACAACACTTTAACTCCATCTCGTACTTTGTGCTCATTCATTCTCCTGGGATACTTCACCTTACAGTCATGTGGCACTTGTCCCCCAATAACAGGACAGGTTAGAAGCATCGAAGTTACATAGAGGTTCATCCGTATCTGCAAAAATGACATGTGTCTGTATATTCAGGAAAAGTAATAACTATTATTTTTGTTCTGCTTGATGTCTATTCTTCTACATTTGGATTCATGTCAATTGAAGGTTCTTAGGTGTGGTGGCCAGAATCGAGGTATTTTAATCTAACCGCATAAAAAAACTCAGTGGTGCCAAGTAAACTCTATCTGGACAAATCCCTGTTCTTCTGTATAATTCCGGAATTTCATTGAGTGACGCAGTTAAAAATTGGGTGAACAATATCGAAAACACGACTTGTCGTAGATCGGTGATAGATTTCTCACAAATCCATGGTACTATCAAAGCGACATCAAGTTATATAAGAATTAAAAAGATACCTCAACAGTGCGTTGGGTAACCGTACAGCTCAAGTGTTCCGCTACACGAAAATCAATGAGAATATTCTCGTTAAAGAGGAGGCCAGAAACTCCGTCTGCTGGGATCAAATCAATAAATGAACATTTCCAGTAGCCAGTCAAAAGGTAAGCAGTCAAATTATAGCACAACCTTAAGTTGAGCCAAAGCAAAGTGTCGCGCACAGTAAAACAATGTCAACATTGTCAACAGTCCGGCATCACACAGTGTTAAAGTAAAGCGTTCATGGTAAGTCTCAAACAGACGGAGAAAAATGACGAGTGTTAGGCCAAAGAAGACAGTCGGATGACGGAACAACATTGCGTCGGCCAGGGTCAAAGGCGCGATATTAATAATGAGGGTAAAATACTCAAATAAATGTCAGTACCGTCAAATAGGGTGATCAGAGGGAATTTCAAGATCATTTTTCCCATTACATTATGCATGAACTTCCGTGAGAAATTTGACTGTGATCTCAGCTTTGTTTTTATTGTTAGCTTCCGCCCCTTTGATCAAGGTGAGCATGTCAAGATTTGTTTTGTTCCCATAATTCATCAGGTAAAATAACCTCTTCGGATGTTGCACCGCAGCCTGGATGGGACGCATTTCAGAGCATTGTACGGACTGGTGGATAGGAGCAGTACGCTTATTCTACACTTCTGTGTGGTGCTTCTTAATTTAGAAAGCTCCACGATTAATGATGAGTCTCCGACTCGTTTTTGCGTCGTAGCAAACTTCCGACTTCGCGGTTTATCCACGGAGAAAATGTTGTTATCCCTTTGAAATGAGTTTTCGATTCCCTCATAGTTAGAGCTGTTTGATAAGTACCATGCGGCTCCATTTGTGGCTTCTGAGTTGATTGTTCTGAACTCCAAGAAGACCGTTGAGTATCCCGTAGCCAGTTATTTGAGTTTGTCGGTTCAAAGAGCCAGGTAATTCGGGAAGAAGCCTCCCACCTCACATTCAGCAATTCGATATACTACGACTAGGTTGACATTCCGGCATACTGATGGGCAACTCAGCATTTGGCATGCCTTACTTCCATATGCAATCGTTTCTGTAACCCCTGCAGCCAAGGTGTTCTTCATGCAAGGTGTGACGCCGTCACTTGTGTACCTGGCTAACACTTTGAAAAAGGATGAATCCTTGTAAATGTGGCTCACTGTGACTGATCATGAAAGAAAGTCACGCCTTTGGGATAGCAGTGAAGTTGGCGATCTCCATGCTTATCACGTTACTAGACTCGGTCCATCCTTTCTGGAAACCAGACCCATTTGTGCACCAGATGAAACCAATAAAATGAAGTTTTTCTTACCCATTCAGGCATTAGCATCACTTGTTTCTGAAGCCCCAATACACCAAAACCCACTACTTTCAAAACTTCCCCCAGTGCTAGTTGGGATTTCACTTCTTCCTCTGCTTTTCCTTACTTGACAACTGCAGCGTATAAACAGTCCACTACACTGGAACTGACGAGCATTTTCCAGAATAAGGCCTCCGCTCTGTGTTGCTTTGAACATGATCTTAGGTAGCCTGTCTGCTTTTCCGAGGGGTACACCTCTCCACCCACTAAGCATGACACGATAATTATATGCGTCCCACGCAACCCGGATTTCATGAAAACACAGCAGCCCACAAGCATGATCCATTTGATCATGTGAATTCATCGCTATGATTAGTAGCACGCAGTAAATTAGAAACCCTAATTTAAGGCACACAAGAGATGAGCTTAAGGATGTAACGTCATTTTCTCATGGACAACGAAGGATAAATTAGCTTAACACTGGCGTCACTATTCAGTAGATTGAAGCAATTCGTGTTGGAAATTAGGAATTATTCAGTAGTTGCTTGAACCATCAAATATCCTTGAAGATAGGGCGGGTAGTACTGCCGTGAACCTGGACCTTATGCATTCTTTCCAAAGCCCTGATGAAATGATGTGTAGTGACAATTACGATCGTTAGGATCCTATTTAAATGAATAGATAATCAGTCGCATCTGAAAATGAATAACAAAAGCAAACAGGAGGCCAAGCTCAAAATCGAGGCACAAAATTACTACGTGGAGGTACATCCGCCATGATACATGGGTCAGCTAAATGCAGTGGCTTAAAAATTACTTGTGTTTAGAAGTCAGCTCCCGGAGAAGGAGATTAAGCTAAATACGGAAGTAATGAAAACTAAGCTGAAGACGAATCTGTCGCGATGGAGTAGAGAGAAGGTAGAATATGGAACCAGGTGTGCGCTTGTGTACAAAAAATTAACTAACACAAGCGAAAGGGGGTCGCAGACATAAGTGACATTCAGGCATTTGCCATATTGGCAAACACGCCCCGCGCAGCCATGAAGATAGTAATGGCCATTGTCTTGTCTGTTAAATGTGGTTATATCACAGCTAAATGGATGACGTGACGGTGAACGCTGGATTAAGGAAGTAGACGGAACGAAGTTATGTCTCCAGCACACTCATCTATATTTCTATTATTTTGTCTTGATTTCTCGTATGCATTCAAAAGCCGTCATACGCATGAGAGCCGCGGGAGGCATAAACTTACTGCCTTACATGCAGTAGAGTGGCAGTTGTGACTAAAAACCGCAGTGCAAATCTTAACGAAGGTAGGAGTGTCAAAAGTTCCCAAATCCACAGCAAAGCCCACCCAACTGATAACACTTAGTAGCCAAACAAGGAATGTATATTCAACCTGTAGAGGAATTCCATCAAAATTGTTTCTTTAAGGGAATACATACGTTTTCATTACAGACCCTTAGGTTACGGCCACTACAGCCTCCGAGTGAAACAAAATACGGTGGTACCACCAATCGAAACGGGAACTTCTGTGCAGTCATACAAACAAAGTGAATGGACTTAAACAAAACGGATGATAAGTGTTTTCAAATATATGGCAACAATGCGATTCAAACTCATGCAACGGTGGCTTTTGGTATGTTTTCCGGTAATAGCTCTTTCCGCGAAACCTTGCGTTTCATCTAGGGCAAGTCCAACAATATCGCTCTACTCTGAGCCCCCTTTTTAACTCTGGGGAAGATAGGAGAGGTGAGGGCCAGATGAAGGACAATTATCGGCTATGCAGTGTGTCTTAGTTTTGGTCGCTTTCCATTTCTAGTATGAAATGATAGGATGACTGATGTCCAGTTGAGCAGTGTTGGCACTGATACACTCAGAATGCAGCTTTCTTTCCTTCTGTGCTATTATCATCACCGATTCAGTCGATGGACTGCATGAGACTTGATAGTGTTATAGTTGCCTTGTTGGCACTGACTGTGCTCCACTCCTGGCCCTATGATTAGAAGCCGACCTTGACTTACGGCCGTAGTTTTAAGACTGACACTGAAAACAAAAGCATCGAACTAATAAGTGAGCAACTATGTGAAATTCATCCGACGAATTCTATTTCAGTTTATACAAAGGTATTTCTATCAAAGTGAAAACAGAATAAGATATGACGCAGATACAAAAATATCAAAAATTTAACTGAACGTGAAAATATCGCTCCCTCTTCAAGCTGTAACTGGAAATAGTGACTGCTAGAAATTTCATGAGGAAAAGGTCTGATCGAATAAGACTGCTGGTTCTTGCAAACAACTTCTGGTTCTTGGAAGACATAAGGAAGCGAAGGTAATTCTTGAGAATGCTGACCTATGGAAAATTTTAGGGAAACATTCAGACTCTAAAGAATGTGGAATAGTTGAATTATATCCCTGAGGTTTTCCCTTCAGCCCACATATCATATTACTTCGAAAGCATCTACTATGCTCCTAATTCGTAGCGTATGGGAGGGCACGAAAGAAGATTCCAGCTATCTTGTCTGTAATTAGGACTTGCAAACTTTGAAATTGCCTTCCTGGAAAAACACTGCTGATTCTTCTCCGAGTGCCTTCAAAAAAAGGTTATACGCCCACTTTGATTCCTGAGATATCAGTGGGAGAGGTCTGCTGCCGTTTGCAGACAATAAATGGCGGAATTACTAGAAAGGAGATGATTAGTTGGGAATTGTCTGTCCTTTCCCTTTTCAGAAACTAGGAAACAAACTCAAAACATTTCTTAAATTTTTAAAAAATAATACGAACGCATAGTCACCGAAGACCTGCTCTATTATTTCTACAACATGAAGTTTGTAGTTCAATCGTGGACATTGAATGACTGATTAGTTACGTTTGTTATAATCGATCTCGGCATTGAGGTGCAGACAAACTAATCCTTGAGCGGTTTGGTGACTTGTAGTTCGTGACACATTATGCCAGCTGAAAAGATTGTACACCCTACAGGAACTCGTAAGGGGGACGAAAGTAACACTCGGACTGGTAAGTCATAGTGTTTATGGTTGTAACGTTAATTAGTGCTCGATGTAATGGGGATTATTTTGTAGTTTGGGGTTTGAGTAATTATTTTACGTGTGAGAGATTCAGGTTCAAATTGTAGGCCGAAATACTTTCATTAATTAGTAGGTTCGGCCACCATCGTCACGAGTGGGTTTGTTTGGTTTCACTTAGGTAATACACAAATCGCTGAGTTATGTAAAGGGGTTTGTCCCTCGAATATCACAAAATCCACAAAGCCAAAGCAATGGGTGGTAAGTGGTTAACTTCACCAGTTGTGCGACTGACTAAGTTGAGTTCATGAAAAGCCTACTCCAAGTTGTTACACATCATAGCCTGTTGGGGGGGAACCACTGCAGGTATAGGCGTCAGCCGGTTCTCGGAAAAGCTGGTTTCCCAATAAAACTTCACTACTCTTATTTGTTTGACTGCATTTTCAGTTCACCTAAGCACTGTGCAGCTTCTTGACTTGATGCCTGGCTTGGAATTTCTTAATCTGTTCAAGTTATGTAACTAGACGAATAATTGGTATTAATGTCGAAATGCATACTGCAACCATTTACACGCTCATACATCAGGCAATGAAACATATGTTACACAGTTGTGTTGCCCGTTAGTTGTCCAAGCCTCTAGAGGTAAAGCAGAGTTTCAGCCCGTGATCCACCGGTTGCCACTGTATATGTCGGTATTTACCGGCGAGCCACACCCCACTTAATGTGTACATGCACATACGTGTGGTATATATACCGTGGTAAGTTTATATTTTCTTTATTCCTGCTTATCCTAACTTTGTTTTATGCTCACTCTAGTCGGGATGTGGTGTCGATTAGTAGCAACAGCCTAGTGAATTAAACTGTTGCTATTCCTAACTAACTAGATTATTATACACACATGAGTTGGTGAGTATAAAGAAGTGAGTGCCTATTGAAGTTTAAGGCCGTGTTATTGACCTTATGAACAGCATTTTGTAAGGTTATCAGTTTTTATTGACTGGAGTAGCTGTGTTATGCATACGAAGCCAGTCTTTTTCAACTGTTCGTTGACATAAGTAGTGGTTGTAAAACAGCTAAGAATTATCAAACTAAAAAGTAAAACATTCATGAGGTTTGACTGCTGATCTTAGCAGTGTAGGAAAATATAGATTACCAGGCTGGGATTTGCAAAACAATTAAAATACTTCTGAAGACTGTGGTATAGCTTCAAATTGGTCACGGGGCTAAGATACATTCGTTCCTCATCTACACCGTAACATAACTCTGTTCTTTCTTTCCTCTTGGCTTCTCACTACTGACAATACAGTATCCACTTTTCCCCTCTTTTTAACCACTTCAACATAAAGTGAAATGACTTATCGTTATGAATTAGCCCACTCTCTGGGTAAGTGTGGGTTTCCGACAACTTTACCTGAAAAAAAGATGTGGGCAAGAACCATCAGTAGTTCATTTTCTGGTGCAGCATCCCTTAATCTATCGAAGTGGAGTCGCACCAAGTTACGACGCATAGGCTTATAAATTAGTGTCTTGCCTAAACGAGTACCGGATTAGTACATCGCTGTGTACAATGTTCGAACACCTGTAGGTGCGTTAGAGCCCTTGGTAAGATACCATGTGAGGTATGTACATTGAGTGGCGCCCACCAAGCGTATCCGCTTTCTCCATTTTTACTTAATTTTTTCAAAGGTGTGCTTGTGATATCTACTTCATTCTAACTAGTTAGTGATGCCACAGAAGACTCCTTAGTATACTTAAGGTAAACAGATGATAGTTCTGTTAGGTAATTTTAATAAGGTAGAAAGCTTTTTGAACTCATTGGTAATTTGGAAATGTTTGAGATGAATTTCTCATCACCAAAATGCAAATTGTTACTTCAAAACTAGTCTACATAGATGTCTTGCCTAACAATGACAGATGAAGTGGCTAAGCTCGTTTTCCAGTTCTCTTACTTAAAAGTTGTTAGCCTACGACATCTTGACACAGACATGGAAAGATCTGATCGTCTCACAATCAACGTTAATTGTGGCACCGTCTAGATATCTTATTGTCTACTAAAAGTTGGACGTATAGCTCTGATATCCTCTAATTTCCACTATGTGGCTGTCAAACACAAACAAAGTAGACGCGGAACATCTCACAGAAGTACATGGGTTCAAGCTGCCACACTTCACACCAGCACGCCAAAACTGTGTAGAGAAAGATAACAAAGTAGACGGTGTGTGAAAGGAGGAGTTCGAGGATCAAGTTTGGTTAAAATGTTTAGATTTTGGAAGACGCCAAAGCGAATATATCAATACCGTTGTCACCGATTTCCAAGCATGTCACCAAGAGTCACCAATCACTAGTTCCCATCATTTTGAGGACCCCGAACAGATAGTTTATACCTCCTTACACAAATAAACAGAGACTTCGTGAACTGGCACCGTCTTGGTCTGGTTACCAAGAGCCTTCTTCAAAGATAATCATACTTCGGCTAACTTGCATATCGAGGTAGGTGGTGACTCGGTACATACAAGCCACCTCAGTCGGTGAAGGTTCAAGACCTTATTGACTGACTTCCCTACTGTGTCTGACACCGCCTAAATTCGACATTGCTCACATAATGTTTCCACCATTCTTGATCAATTTTGTGGAGACGTAGTCAAAAACATGACACCCGGAATACGGCGTACACTACGAAGACAACGGTGGTCAAACACTTGAAGCCTTCTCATGTCTTCTACCATCAGTGGACATGTTTCACAGCCATACAGTTGGACAGATCGGACTGCTATGCAGGTGCAGTACACGCGACCCTTAATAGACAAACGGATACCACGGCGGCGCCATAGGTGGCGTAAAGTGGCAAAAGCCAATCGAGCCTTTTGTATCCGTGCAGAAATCTCATCGGCAACTAACCCACCGGGGTTGATCCTACTTCCCAGGTAAGTGAAGTAGTCGACACACTCAACCACTTCACTCTCTATTGTTAGTCGCGGTGGGGCACCGTTGAAGACCAATCCTAGAGCAGAAATTTGCATTTGGGTGGTGAGAACCGTATCCCAAACATTCTCAAATTCCCACTCAGTGTTCAGAAGACTCTGCACCTTGTCAACGTCTTCACCTAACAGGACAATGTCATCTGCATATTCTAGGTCTAATGAAAATTCTCCTGCGATTAGGTCAACCTCTGTGTAATTAGGTGACGACAGGGAAACCTCCATAAGTATATCTATGACAAAATTGAACAAGAATGGAGACAGTAAGCATCCTTGACGGACACCACTCGATGAGCATAGCTCCCTGGACATCTCACCATAGGCTCCAACACACCCACAAGTGTTCGAGTAGAGAGCCTTCAATAAGGTGATGTACTTACTGGGCACGCCTTTCAGTGAGAGACATTGCCATAAGACTTCTCGATCAATGGAGTCGGACGCCGCCTTCAAGTCGAGAAGTACAGCTATTGTCAGGCGTCGGTAAGCATACCTATGTTCCAGAACCTGGCTCAGTGTGAATATTTGGTCGATACACCCACGGCTGGGTCAATAGCCTGCCTGGTTTTCTCGGGTTTGTTCCCGAGCTCCACTCAGGCGTCGGAGAATTATAGTACCTAGGATTTTGGATACTGTGTTCGTCAGACTGATTCCTCTGTAGTTATCACAACAGGAATTCTCGCCTTTCTTAAAGACTGGAATAATCAGTGATTCTGATCAGCCAGAGGGGATCGTAATTGATTCCCATATACTAGCTAACACTTCTGTTAACCTGAATAAAAGCACCCTACCACCATCCTTGTATACCTCTGTAGTTAGTCCTTCTGGTCCTGGCGTCCTTCCTCGTTTCAGGTTACCTACTGCTTTCTCGACTTCTGCTAGTGTTTTTTTTTGGGGGGGGGGGGTGTATCTCAATGTTCCATTCAGGATTCGACTGGATAGAGGGCAACTTAATGATGGCTGGAGGCCAGTTAAACTGCTCCTCGTAGTGTTCTACTCATCGTTCCAGTCCACTGCCTTGCGAGTGAATCGCAGACCCGTCCTTCTCCACTATAGCCTCACTAACTGTTGTTGAACTTTTCCCTCCAGTTTCCTTAATAAGCCTAAATAACTGTCTATTGTTACCAATCGTTGCTGCCTTTTCCATCTCTTTAGCCTTCGCTGTCCACCACTGTTCGCGGTCGTTGCGTAGACGTTTTCTCAATCTACTTTTAAGTTGCTCTTGCTCTTCATTGTATTCGGGGCGTGCAGGGATGCGTTCACGTGCATCCATTAGTTTGGAAGAAGCTGCTCATATCTACTGGCTCTTTTTAGCCACCATTTCGGAGTCGGCTATGATCTTCAGTGCTGCTTTTACAGCAGACTGAAGATGGCACCAAGCTTCTTCTGGATGACTGATAGTCTTCTGCTCCGATAATTGCGTAGCCAACTTCTCACTGAACACGGCTTTGGTGTTTCCGTTGTCCAGCAGTACTTGTAGTGGTTTTGTTGCCAAATTTTTTCTACGTCCATTGAGACACAGGCATATACGTGCTCGGACCAACACGTGATCGTTATCCAAGCATGTACTCCAGAAGGAACAGCAGTCTTCCACCGATCGTCTCCAGCGATGACTAATAGTAATGTGGTCTATCTGTGTCCATCGCTGAGTTGAGCTCGGTGGACGCCAGGTCAGACAGTGCCTTTCTTTATGTCTGAAATTGGTACTGGCTAAAAATAGGCGGTTATCTGAGCATAGTTGTAATAGGCGATCACCGTTATCTGTGCATTCAGCTGGGATTCCGAAAGTGCCACCTAAGTGCCTTTCTGCCTCACTCAGTCTACCCACCTGTGCATTGAAGTCACCTGCAACAACCACCACGTGGGGATTTTCGGCTTTCGAGAGGAGGCTAAACAGTTTACGGTAGAACTCGTCCTTCACTTCATCCGAACTACAGTCAGTGGTTGCGTAAGCAGAGATTACAAAGAGACAACGGCGAGTCTCACTATTCCTTTTAGTTCTCACTGTGCCGTTCAGCCTCAGAGCTCAGAGGCGACTGTCAACTGGGATCCAGTCTAGTAGTGAGTTTTCTGCCCTACTGCTAGTGGTATGCCTACACCTGCAAGACCACGAGAGCTAGCTATCGAATCTCCAGAAACTCGAAGGGTGAATTTTGCGGACTCACCAGATTGGCCAGGAAAGGTCAGGTGAATAACCACACTTGGGTCCTGTATGCGTGTCTCACAAACACAGCACACATCCATGGTCCGAGTTGCTAGAGTCTTTGCCTATGAAGCCATTTGACCAATTTGACGGAGGGTGTGGACATTGAAGGCTCCAATATGTAATTTGGAGCGTGGTTTAAGGAGACCAGTGATGCTTTTCTGTGGACTCAAATCGTTTTCAAAGGCTGCAGAACTAGGAGAAATTGAAGATGATGTAGTATTGTTAATTGGGAGACATGAAGGAAGATTAGGAGGTAATGAGGGGAGGGGGAAGTGTATAGTAGTCTGAGGAGACTTGAGTGCTGATCGAGTTGTGAGGGCGATTGATACTTCCCGGTTGCCCACACCGTGGAAGACTATTTCTTCTTAAGGTACCTGAAAGAGATTTGTGTGACCGCAGAGCTCATTGGACATCTGCTTGAGGCCTGTCACACGTAGCCTTTTGTGTATGATTATTCTGAACTTTTGTATTTTTGGGACTGTATGGTGGAAAGGAAACGATAAATGAAGCAACACCACCGGCCTGGCAGACTGTGGGGTATGGTGGAGTATGTTATTTTTGGGGCTGACCTCTCCTAACCCCCATCCCCTTCCACTGAGAAGGCAGCATCAGTATAGCACTACTACTGTCACACTCCATCCAGCTGGCAGGAGTATGACTTCGCCCTGAGACCCCCATCATAGTGTAGTAATTTATATCACAACGGTAACTGCTTTTCGTCTTACCACTATGCAACAGACATTTCTTGTATGGTAGTACCTCGAGGGAGCAAGTGTTTCACCAGCATAGCTCGTTGGGTCATTGTGATATGCAAGCCGGACCACCACGTCAATGTAGCAGCTATCGGTCGGAATCAGATGCCCCACAGAGCGTAGGTCAATCCTCGTCAAGTGAGAACTGAAAATTAATCAACATCTGAACGGGGTCCGGGATTACTGTGTGATGAGTTCAGTTTCCACCTCTTCTATCAGCACATGCAGGCAAGTGAGAATGCATCAAGACGAAAGATGAGGAAAGTAGTCAAAAGTAGGATGGACACCAGTCAACAGCCATCTGTACGCTGTTCGACTGAATGGATCTGTACGAACTGGGAAGTGTGGTGAGATTAGGCGATGCCTATACATAATCAGACAAGATCAAGGTTGAACCTTGCACAACCACACTACAGTAATATACAAAGAACAAGTAGATAGAAAAAGGGTAATATCAAAGTAGATAAAGTTATGTTAGAGGATAAGCAACTTGAAGATAAGGTTTAGCACGGTATACTTGTCCTTTGATAGATAATCAGATATCTTGCCTATCGGCGCCACAGGTGACGCAACTTGACAAATCGTAAATGACCCTTCAGTATCCGAGCTGATATTTCGTCAGCAACCAGCCCGTTCGAACTGATACAACTTCCCAAGTAAGCGAATTGGTCGACACATTCCACCACTTTTCTCCCCATCATTAAGCTGAGAGTCGTTGCAGATCAGTCCTGGAGCATCAATTTACATTTCACAGGTGCGAAACGCTTGCCAAAATTGTACAGATTTCTACTCAAGGCGTTACAAAGACCATGCATTTTGTCAGCGTCCTCACCTAGCAGGACATTATCGTCTGCATATTCAAAGTCAACTAGACGGCCTCTGGGAAGTAGGTCAGATATATCTAAGGTTACGTCCATTGGTACGTCTATGACGAAGTTAAACAGGAAGGATGACGGTGAATATCCTTGCCGAACACTACAAGTCCCTTTGTGAGTTGCATCTTCTCTTCATTGTGCTTCGAGCCTGCAGTGATACATTCGCATGGATCTTTTAATTCAGAAGCAGTTGATGATGTCCACTGGACGTTTTTAATCGCTCTTTGAGATTCAGCTGCGATGTTCAGCTCTGTTTTTAAGCAGACTAGAGATGGCGCTAGGTTTCTTCTGAATGAGTAATGTTGTTCTGTTCCGATAACTGTCAAACCAGTTTCTCAGTGAACTCAACCTTATTGTTCTCATTATCGATCTGGTCCTCACAGTGGTCTTGTTGCTTTAGTTTTTCTAAGTAAAATTAGTGGCAGATGTACGCCTGCCCGAACCGCTGCATTGTTACACTGTCCAAACATGCTCCAGAAGGAGCGGGAATGCTCCCCTAAACCTCCAACTGTAATTGTAAGCAAAGCAATATGGTCTATCCGTGTCCACCGCTAAGTTAAGATTGTTGGACGCCAAATCAAACACTATCTCTCTTGAGATCTGAAATTCGTGCTGGCCAGAAATAAATGGTTGTATAAGTGCAGTTGTCGTGGGTGATCGCCGTTATATGTTGGTTCGGGTGAGGTTCCAAGAGTTCCAAGGTGGTGCCTTTCTGCCTGACTTAGTCTACTCACTTATGCACTGAAATCACTTGCAACAACAACGATGTCTGAACTTTTAGGTTTCAGCAGGATGTTAGATGGTTTTTAGTAGAACTCATGCGAACTGCAGTCATTGGGTGCGTAAGGATATATTACAATGAGACGACGACGAATTTCACTATTTCTTGTATTCCTCATTGAGCCATTCAGTCGGATTGCGCATAAGCGGCTATCAACTAGGAGCCGGTGGAACAGTGCTCTTTCCACCTTGAAGCTTAATCGACTAGTCAATCTTATATTAATTTGATGATATCGTCTGAAGTCTCATTAGAAGTTACTTCGTTCTGTGAATCCCACCTTCAAATGTTTTATATGGTACTGTTTAATTTCTGTTCTGTTCACATGTGTAACTATAGTGTTAGTTACTTAGTTCATCCATCATTCAGTCTGACTGTTTTTGTGTTGCAATTTCCTGATAGGTATGGGGTATACGAACACAGTCACAGACAGCAGTACTACTATGAATTTACATCCGAGCACAGATTTTAATGCCGGAAACTCTGCTACTGATCCTGATAACAGAATTGAATGTCCTTATTGTTCTGAAAATGCAGAAACTGAAGCTGGTCAGCGATCTTGTCAGCATTGGACTCAAGTTGGGCGTTCATCAAACACTAGACAGGCACATAAGAAAAAATTCAGAGGTCTTCAAAACGGTCATGCTGATCCCTCTCGTTATGTTAATAGTCGAAGTACAAAAGAAATTATTCAACGTCATGTTGCCAATAACGATCCAGCCGATGGACTCAGTTTGCGTGACTCTGTCGAAACCAATGCACCCAATATAACTGCATCACGCTTCAAATGTGATAGACCCTTGCCTTCAAGTAATAGAAATGTACCGCTATCTAATGTAGAACTCACTAAAACTGTGACATCAAATTCATCCTCTCCAGCTCCATCAGTTTCGTCAGACCTTCCAAATGGGCATGACTATGGCGACAGTAGAACATTTCCGAGGTACCCACATAAGTCATCGCGCTCATTTAGATCGGTCACGCAAACTGTAGATGCTGATGATATACACAATCAGCGTTCAAACGCTTCTCCTGTAACCACTGGTAACAACATGAGACCCCGACCTTCGATGAATCGTCCTGGTGTAAATATGCCACCGCAATCTGGAGCCTCCTCCTCCGCTTATCAAAATGGTCAGTGTGATCAATGGCGACGTCCTAATAACAATGGTAACTGGAGAAGATCACATCATACTCTACCCTTTGCATCTCGCAATCCTAATCAGTTCCATCGTTACAATGGACCTGGAAATCACCCTGCTCGACCTCATCAAAACAGTTTCTCACGGAACCGTATTTCGGGTTCTGGTATGGGAGATTCACCTCCCACTCAGACGAATGACTCATTAAATCCCATTTCCAATGGATCAAATTTACAATCCGAAACAAACGGTGAGAGTTTGAGAAAGCCACAAACATCTTGGGCTGCCGCAGTTGCTGTTGGAGTTCAGCCTGAACAAAAGCTATGTACATCTGTCGATAATTCGCAAATTCAGCTGGTAAATTTTTTACTAGACCAGTGGCGCTGCTTTGATCGTAAATCATCGTAATGTATACGTTTACACTCACCTTTTTTAGGTATGATTTTTTAAACCGACGATGTCTTCTGACACTTCACCGTTAAGAGAATACCTTATCTCTCTACATATATAGATCGCAAGAATTTTGTATAACCCATAGAATTGAAGAACTGGAGTTTGTGTAAAAACCCTTTCATAGATTTGTTTTACGGTTTTCGTAAATGGTACACTTTGGCTTGATTTCTTAATGCAATTAATTAACCCCTTGAATTTCTTCAGCAATATCTACGAACTATTTTAAAAAAGTATCCAACCTTCAGGTCACATTCCTCGCCCTCCATTCTTTGTTCACTATCTGCTTTCCACCTTCCGCTGTATAACGGTACGACATAAGACCGATATTGTTTATCCAGTGAGCTGAATAACGGGGTTTCCCCTGTATTGTGTTTTCAGTCAACTTGTCTATACATTTAATCCATCTGATGTTTATATATATATATATATATATATATATATATATATATATATATATATATATATATATAATCATTCTGCTTATCTTTTGGATTATATGTTTGCACGTGGTTAACCTATCCTGTAATAATGCTACTACTACTACCCCCAGAATATGACTTTCATGTTTACCTTTTTTCATTTCATCTTCTGTATGGTAAAAGAATGTCAAAATTCACTTTAGAAAAAGAGTAATACAGCTAACTTTTCTGAACTCCGTTTGTTTAACAGTTCGAACTTTGCATTATACTCCATCACCGTGTTTCATTAAACACGTCCATTTGTGCTACATTTTTCATTGTTAAATGTGTGCAAAAAAGAGAAAAACGGAGGGGGAGGGAAAGTGCGTATGCATTCTTCGCAATTTATTTTATTTCAGTAGTTACATCAAGAAATCTTTTCCTGAAGTCTGCAAAACTAATAAAAATGTCTACTGTTGAAAATACTTCTTTGGCTTTATTTATCTCTTATTTTTCGTTTTCAAAGCTATACTTCTTCGACATGCCTTTTGCCTGACGTTGCTTTTCCCCGTTTCCTTTCCCCCGTTTTATAAGCAGATGTTTTCCTTTTTGAAAAATTCAGATATTTGGATAACTTGTTTTTTGTTCCATATTCTTCATTATATGTGGTCTGGCTGTTTTCAAAGCGATTTACATAAGAAAAAGGTCCACTTGGTCTCATCAGATATTTTGCTTAGGGCGGCTGTCGTAAGTGCTAGTATGATTTAACTCGCCTTGTTTTTTATTTCCACGCCTAGTACCTGGAATTAACATTTTAGTTTAGCGATGAAACTACAGCTCATATCCAGACATTCTACTTTCCATTATTGCATCATAGATTTAAACTCCCTGTCTACCTGCTGAAGTTCGTGCAGCTGCATATTTTATTGTTAGCGGTTACACAATGGTCATAACTCAGCATAGTACACGAAAATGCACATAATTGCCGAGTAAAACTTCATTTACTTCATATAGTATCCAAGATCTTGTTAGTGTTGTTTAATCAAGCTATATCTGAGTACTAACTTTCGACAATGTTTTCCACTTGGTGCAATGTTACACTTTTAGATAATAATGACAATGTTCGTTTTTACTTATCAAAGGGCTGACCTCGTAATTATTATTGGGCGCTGTAACAAAGGCTGGAAATAGTCAATACATCAAGTCAGACTTACTGCTATAGTGGTACGTTAATTAAGTTAAAGCTGTTTGATTAAACCTTAAAACAGTTTGGTACAGTCGTGTTATAAGGTGTACATATATAAATTTTGTTCTGGTGAATTTACTATTATATAGGCGGTACGAGCAGTTTCATCCTTTAAAAGTGGAAAAGCTGCTAACCAATAGAATTCAGCCATTCAAACCACATCAGAAGTTTAATGGACACAGTATCAGCGCTACTTAATTTCTGTGTTACGAGATTGCTTAGGTGAAGTACACTGCAGCAGGAAATGAGTTTATGCCAACAACGATTGAATGTACTCACTACTTTTGTACGTGTACAACCGATGTTTGATGTTAACCTGTGAACAATAAAAGTACTGGAGTATTCTCTTAGATCTGTGGTTTTTCGCTAATAGTTCTCAACATATCAAGATGTCTAACTACGTACTCCTGATATTATTGATTCTATTTGATGGGAAATGATTTTATTTTCTGTTCGCGTTAAGCTTTAATTCGCTAGTGCATAGATATTTTAGGTCTGAATTATAAACCTTAAAGGCATATCTGTAAACAGCATTCAGAAGATTTATTTCAACATTGTTTTCTGTGTTCTCGCATCTCTATAGAGCTGTTTAGCATACCTATGGTGAGCGTTGCCAAGATTGACACATTTGGGAATGTATAAATTACCCTTTTGTGCTATATACTTCTTTAAATTAAGACCTGTTTGGAGTTTGGCATTAAAAATATAGTTGTTAACGTAATTCTACAGAACAAACCAACTGAAAAGTTAAAATATCCAAATTTGTCTAGGAAATATTCATGCAGGTGTTATATTTAGAATTTTCGTAGGGAATTCAGTTAATTAGTAGCAAAATGCAACCATATTCACTGTTAAAATCAAATCATTGGGTTAGCAAAAGGTCCTAGAAAATGTGTTCTCTTGTTTCAGTTCACGCCTAAAATACTTCAGAAGTTGTGGTATGGTGACAACTATTTCCAGTTTACATTCTGAGTGTTCTAGGGATTCTATTGCTTTCTGATATATAGTTTTATAGAGCGCAGTATTCGTTGTCATTGAGGAGCAACTGCAGATAAAGTCATTTAGTGTAGTGATGAAGCGTCCATTTCCATATATCAAGGATTGAACAAAACCTAGCAATTGCGATACCTACCCTTAGTTATGCATGTTCTAGCTTTAATTAGATTATGTTACACGTAATCAGCAGCATATTAGACAGAATTATCATTCGAGCTTATATCAACTATACAACAACTGAAGATTGCGGTTCAATTATTTTAAATGATCATCGTAAGTCTGCTCACATCTTTGAGAATGTTTTTGGAGTCGGATGGATCAGTCTATGGTCTGAACATTTTCATTTGTAACGAAGTCAACAATCGGATATAGCAGTTCGTTTGGTCCTGGATTTGTTATTCTAGCCATAGACTGCAAATCTAGCAAACGCTTATTTGGATCTTGAGAAGTCTGAATTATGCACACCATCTGGACAATCAATGAGAGATTATAAACAAAATCGAGGAACATTTGATTCATATGTTTCAAACTTGGTTACTGCTGTACTTTGGAAAACCGCTTCCGATTGCTTGTATACTCTTGATCCATCAGGTATAATTTCATTGCACCCATTTCGTCAGTTTTCACAATTTCGCGCTTGAATGTATTATCAGAAATAGTTATTTCAGAGTGATATTTTCGGCATTACTACATGCTTGGTGTTTGCATGTGCTTAATTAGTTAGGTTGATATTTGTACTTGTTGTCTTAATGTTAAGTATTTTTGCCAACTATGTTTTCTACCATATACATAAAATCATTCTGTACGTTCAGTTGTTAGCTTGCTTTTCATATGAACAAACTGTCCTCTGATCCCTTTTTCCACATTGTCAAATCCATCACCATCATTATCCTTCTAATGAGTGACAGTTCCGTTGTCGTGTAATTTTTTCTGTGGATTATCCGTACTCATGAGAACAATATTACAGGTGCGGGTCATGATTATGACATTTTGAAACGATTACCTAGGATACTTTAAATGAATCCATAGGAATATTTCCTCATTTCCAGTCACTTATCTTTCTCCTGTCTTCTGTATAAGAGCACAAACTGTCACTACTGCTTTCTTTAAAAAATGACGAACCAGACCAGTTATTTATTGACTAAATATTTTTTTCTAAGTTTACTGAATGTAGATTTCTTTCTTAGGAAACTAGAAAATTGGATGTAAAGCGTGTTTAATTTTTGTTTCTTACAAAGCAATTCTCGTACAACATGCACACCAAAACGTACGCTGTATCTGCGACACATTGATGAACTTCTGCTTCTCTGTGCAGTTGTAAGATTACGATTGGCTATATGACAAATTAATGATTAGGTGTGGTAAGTCGAAGTATGCCTGAACCGAAAGTTAATCTATAGCTAGTATAATATAATAGTAGTGTTTTCTCAGTAAGATTAAACTACATGATCTGATAAATTAGTATCCTCAAAATAGGTAGACCAAATTTATTAGAAAAAAGTCTCACACCGTCTTTACTACAAGTAATGTTACTTCAGAATCGAATGGAAAAAGTGGTTATAGGAATAAAATGCATTATTCATTCGTTTGTAACATGGTCTTCTTCCATGTCAATAGCTTAGTGTATACATATGTAATCTGTATACTTGCATTCTTCTTAGTTGTCATAGATGATAACAAGTTACCGATCAACCGGGAATATTCACAGATCACCCAGCTGGAATACTCACCATCTCAGTGCAAAATGATGGACATAATTCAGTCAACATCTACGACTAGACAACATGAAATTGGAATTTGAAACAATTAGTCCCTTTCACAAATTTAGGTAGTGTAATTAGAAGATGAAGTTGATCTGAACAGTGTGATATATTTGCACAGTACATCTGATTGTTCGAAGTGTATGGCGCAAATACATTACATTACATTGTTCAGACAAACTTCGTCTTTTAACTACACTATCCGAAAACATGAAATTTGTTACTCTCCAGTTTGCAAATCAATGTACACAACACATAATATTTTGCATTTTTTGAGGTTATCAATAATTATACTCTTGAGTATTAACCTCTTCTTGAATTAACACCAGTGAATCCTATTACTAATTTCAACGGCATCTCAATGAAATAATGAGAATGCATGAAGTAGTTGTGAATAAATGAATACACTAATCTCGAGTTAAATAGGAAGGATTTCCATTTCCCTAATTTACTTCACGAATCCATCCAAAAATTGTTGCCTGTATTTATGTAGATGATAACTATCTTGACAGAAGTGTGTAGAAGTATTAGACAGCTGAGGAAAGTGGACTGAACTCTCCGTCTCCATGTTTCCTTCATCCTAGTAGTCATCAACAAGAAGTATCGGAAACCGCTACACTAGATTTATTTGTGTGAAATGGGACAGAGCGACATAGCTTTATTTACTGTTTGAATTCTACATCACATACCTCGTTCATGATGTTCTCCTTTGAACGATAACAGTTTATTTCGCCAACTGTTTCAGTATTCCATGTTACTGTTGAGCCATATGCTCAGTAATCGGTCATCTGTAGGACTGAAATGTAAGCCCACATTGGTTTGCAAATGTATATCAAAGTCATACATTTTCTCATAGTTATCTATTAATCAGCATTAAGGATAGCACTTAGACACTGTTTACTATTTCGGAAATGATTAGTACACATGTATCATTACGGACCATAGGTAGTAGGTCTTCCTCAAGTCCAGTCCGATTTTCAAGTTAACTTCTTGACTGAAATTAGC